AGGGAATTAAGGTACTAGATACGGATAAAGTGGGGTCCAATTTAAACGAAATAGCTCAAACTGTACAAGACTTAAGTTGAAATGAAGTCCATAAGATATATCTGTATAGAATTTCCATCCGAAATTGCGTGTCAAAAGTGTGAATTTTCGCACTTAAGGTGTCGAAAAGCCACAGGCAATCCAATCGATTTTTTTAGTAAATGTTGAAAATCTCGGGTGCTTTACATACAGAAAGCACCAAACTTACCATAAATGAGCCTGGGTCGTTAATAAATATAATTTGAAGAGCCCCAAGTTGGATAAAAAATTCCAAGCTCCATTAGAGTTTTTTTGCATTTTCACTCGCAAAAATTTTCAAGTCAATCCAACAACTTGGGGCTCTTAATATTCTTTTCTTTAGACTCTTGTTTAAATGTTGTCGAAAAATAATGGCCATCCGACAAATCGGAGTAGATTTATTACCGAACGCGTGTCGCAGAGTGGCCATTAAGAGTACAAAACAAGTAAAATCTTGCCGATTACGCTTTCGATCGAGGAAATGACCTCGCCATTTTGAACTCTTTACCGCTGACCACCATAATACACGAAAAAAAATCGATTACATTACGATTCCCTTCGAATAAAAGCGAAAATAGGTCGCCCACGCGTCGTATACTCGGACTGCATTCCCGCGAACGAAAACAAATGACGTCATCCTTGACGACGGGCTACACCGCATGCGCAGTATATATCCACAACACTTCACACTTCGATTGATGAGACTTCTTGAAAACAATTGAAAGCAATACCAGTCAACGCCGAAACTTACAAATATTACTAACACGGAGTTCCACACTTACTTGAGGCCATGTTAGTAGATACTTCGGAGATAACTTTGGACTCTGTGTTCTCAATTTGCTCGTTGTAAACATGTGCAAAGTTATTTGAAATATTCTTTCTCACACCTTTGACGGAAATTAAGCTTCGCGTTCTCGCGTGGACCATTCAAGTGCGCATGATCAGTTTGATCAAATAACAATAAACGGTCTCGTATGACTTCAAAATGGCTTCCTTAGATACATCTTTTCACTTGATTTTCTAGACGAAAACGATATAACACTGAAGCGAAATGTCGGCAGTGTGTTCACTATAGTATAAATATACTATTAAGCGATAAAAATGAGGTCAAACTTTTTGAGTCGACATCCGTATCTAGTACCTTAAAAACATACTTATTTTAAAAGTTAGTTTTCATGCTTACCAAATTCGTTGACTTGTACAGATGCATTAACCATAGACGACTCAAATGGGTGATCCAAACTTCCCTACAGAATAGTCACAAAGATCATTGTTATCTGCTGTTATTATCACACCTCATGTGTGAAGTGATGTAATTTTGTGAAATAAGGGAATTCTCACACTTTTTTTAATTATTGCTGTTTTCAATCGTCCAATCACTGATCAACAATTGCCAATTGCCCTTATATGGTCTTTCTAGTAAAGTGAACTTTTTAAATATTAGCCACTGGCCATTATTCCTAATAGTCACCAATGGGCTTCAAATATGAAAAGGGCTAGGCTGCCTGTGTACTACCACTACCACAGGAAGCCCATGTAACCTHTTTAGATATACCAATCTTACTTTTGTTGAGGAATGAAAGGACTTTCTATAGCTTGGTATCCCAGTYCTTGAACAACTTGAACTTGACATCTGTCGACTAGTTGGACTCTTCATACGAGCATGAAATGCCATCATCTTYCTTGAGCAGCTCACACTGTACCGTCTAGCGCATGAGGTAGAGCAGAAGCGCCTTGGACCACGCTGATGGTGAACTTCTGTAGCAGTTCCACACTGTTCACAGTAACCAGGGGGGTAGTTAGAGTCATAGAAGACATCATTGCTTTCGTCATTGCTTAGAGGACTGCCAGGGCTGTGAACTAAAAAAAAAACCATAAGCTTTAAATTACATTTTAAYGTCTTTTGAAAGCTATATCTTCGAAAATTTTCAAACTTGGTAAATTTGCTAACATCATAGAACTTTTCTGAAATWCAAAATCATGGTGCATTGTGGTCTAGCTTCAGAACAAACAATGCCATATTTGGCAACATGAGCAAAAGATGATCRTACTGAATCTCAAAAAAGGCCTATGGTAATGTTTTTTGTAATATCTGGGTTGACCATGAAATGACTAAATTAAAGATACCTAGAGCAGATTATCATTACTAAATATAATAAACAAACAAAAAATAAAAGGTCTCACCTTCACCATCTGCTTCAATTCCGATTTCCATGTCGATATCACCATTGTGATCRTGGTTTGCATTACGAAGAGGATCATCATCGTCATCATCATCATCAGCCTGTTAAAGAAATACAATAATGGTTGGTGAACCAGCAGTATAATTATTCCATTATCAATATGAAAAAAAGACATTTTATTATCGTTTGAATAAGTATCTGATTGATTGAAGTAGATGCCTGTGTCCCAAACAATTTACATTTTTTTTATTAAGTGAGACACAAAATAATAAATTGATCGTTTTCAATCATTCCCATGAGATTCAAAAGATAAAAGACCGGCGGCCATGTTGGAGGAATGAACAATAGATACTAATGAGAAATCYTTTGTTGAAGTTCMTMMAAGATGGCYRCTGTGACGTATGGTGAAAACGAAGAATAGRTGGTGCTAGSMRACTATTATTAAAACCCCTGCATTGTCTGTAATATTCAGTGAGAAAGGTGATATAATTATGTAGCCATAATATTTTATGTCGGTCATAAAACTCTACTAATGTTTATAGCAATCAATCAATCAATCAATCAATTTATTCAGCAGCTTGTCCAATTACTGAAATTTAAATATGGCCCAATTTCACCATCAATCACTTCCATTAACACTGAAATATTCTTACTGCAGCCATAGAGCTGTTTCTTACAACAACATAAGCATGTTGCAGGAGAACAACAGCAATTTTCTATGAGTGAACAAGGAAATACTAATGAAACATATGCTTTTTTCTTACGCTTCTGTTTGTGCTTATGTCAAAAAAATTATGAATGAGAACCAGCATGACATAGGCATAAGCTCATGCTGTGTGAAAACAGCCCTAAGGAAAGAAGGGGTTTGCTGTTGAATTGTACATGTAGGGGAGGGGAAAGAGGGGAGGGGAGGGGAGGGTTTCTGATGGGATCAGATAAATTGAGAACTAATTGCAAGCAAATTATGTTTTTCTTACTTAAGATATATGTTGAACTATCATAGGAACTARAATAACTAAACATTTGATTTGTAATTCATGATTACAACAATAAAATGAATATCATTCCTTAAATCTTATAAAATATTAAAATTTATTTAAAAAGTTTGCTTCCATTATGTATTTTTATCGTTTTTAYTACTTAATTGAACGACTTAAAGTTTGAAAGACAATAGGAGTCAAGTAAAAAGGAAAATTGAACTGAATCTTTGATAGGGTCCCCTCATAGGCTAAAGATCATTATAACAAACCTCAAGTATTTTTTAAGATTTTCGGAAATGTTTTGAACTACAAAACACATAAACAGCACACGAATGCATTCAATAATGCCTTACCGTAAAAGGGACGTTACTTTCTTGTATTATAAAGCCTTCAACAACATGTGTCAATACTCTGTGGGCCGCAATATTTTGCTTGTTCACACGATTCACTTGATCGTATGTCGTCGGCACGGCGACCATTTCCATTACTTTTTAGCCCGTTACATTTTACAAAACATACTTTTGTCTTTACCAATATGCTTGGTAGAGTTAAATTCAACAAACACGAACGAATGAATCCTCTTAGTGAAGTATTTCAGCTAGAAAAACTGAACTTTAAAATCCACTTTCATGAATAAAAGTCAATGGATGCGAGAAAACGTGTCGCACTTTGTCCAGCGGTATTTTCCAAAACGAGCAAAAAAGATTACTTATAGGGTGGGGGAGACTTTAGAATTKTGCCTCAACAAGATTTACCCTCAAAGATCTCACCCAGCAATATTTAAAAATATTGTAGTTTATATTTATATTTCTTACTTTCAAGGGCTAGTTKTAAGCTATCTATTGTGTCTTTTACAGATGATATGGATCATTTTCTTTCTTTCTTTCTCACCCCTCCCCAGTAAGTCTTAATATCAATTCATCACATGTGGACTTGATCGTGTTTCTTGTCGGACTTTGCTTCCTCCTTTTCTGGTAAACATTGCACGCTTTTTGGCTGATATCTTTCTCTGTAGGACGTCTATCTGTTTTCAAAAGCTTTCTTTTTTCACCATAAAATGGCGAGTAGTCTTGAAACAGAAAGAAAATCCGATGTTGTTGTGATAGGATCTTGTTTCATGGACATGCTCTGGTACGTGCCACGAGTTCCCAAATCAGGAGAAACGCTTCACGCTACAAAATTCCAGCTCGATTTTGGTGGAAAAGCTGCAAATCAAGCCGTAATGGCCGCTAAACTTGGTGCTAGGGTGTCAATGGTTGCAATGCTTGGAAAAGATAAATTTGGATTTGAYACTTTAGAAAACTTCAAGAAATATAATGTAAATACTGATTTTATTCAAATGGAGGAAGGAGGAACAACTGGCGTGACCACTATATGTAAGGCACTATTGATGTATTCTTTTGTGTTATGATCATGATGAAAAAAACATAAGTGAATCCCCAAGGGCTGCTACTCTATGGGGAGGTCATAGGGCAACATCTCCCCTTCCCTCCCCTCCCCTCTTTCTACTTCTAAATCCAAAAGTCTTACAATTAATCTTCCATATATATCTCAATTTCAGCTGTGGATAACGATGGCCAACCAGCCTTCATTGGCCTTGCTGGATCCAATAAATCTTTAACAATGGAACACATTAAACTGGCTGAGGACCTTATAAAATCAACTCCTGTAGTAATCTGTGACAAAGGAATTCCACTTAAAATATCACTWAGTGCTTTGAAATTTGCTAAAGATTTAGGCTGCAGGACACTATTCAACCCTTCACCAACTATTGAGCACCTGAATCCAGTGGAATATACTTACATCAGTGTGTTATTAATAAATGCAATCGAAGGAGAAGGGTTGACTGGGATTCCTGTGGATGGCGTGGAAACAGCTAAAGAAGTTGTGAAAGAGATACATCAACGAGGTTCAGAAAATGTTGTACTTACTCTTGGTAAAGATGGTGCTGTTTGTTTGGAAAAGATTCAAGGTATTCCAGGTATTCCAGTCGGTATCTTTGTGGGTAGCAATGGTTGCAATAATGTTTATAGCACCCTTCCTCCTAAGTAAACCCCAGGTCCTTGTCGAACAAACTAGCCTGTGGGATGTATAGTTTGTCTGGATGTAATGCAGGCTACAAACAAATAAACCCCTTATTTCTTGCTTAATGAAAAATAATATTTTGATACCCACCCCCTTGAATTTCTAAAATCCTCTGGGATGAGGGGGAGGGGGTGATTTGGTATTTTGRATGATTATCACTCATGCAAGCAATATTAGGAAAGTGCCCATGTGTTTTGGAAATCATTTCTTTTGATAATATTTTGATAGTTATTTATTCCATCTTAAAGGACAAGAATATGATATTTCATATGTTACCACAAGTCAAGTAGAGACAGTTGACACTACAGGTGCTGGGGACAGTGTTGTTGGTGCCTTGGCATACTTCCTTGCTTGTCATCCATCACTTCCATTTAAGGAGGCTGTTAGGCGTTCAATTGCTATAGCAACTATCACTGTGACATCTCATGGCGTACAGTCAAGTTATCCTGCAAGACAAGAACTTCCATCTTACCTATTTGATGACATTTAACATAAAAATAATAATAAAAATAAAAATAAACATAAAAATACATAGGAATGAAAAACAAACTTTAAATTTACTGTTCCTGCTTTTTAAAAATATAAAATTGCAAATAATTTCGAATTTTGTAGGCATTTTATACATAAAAACRTAATTTTAACCTTTTTTATTGTTTTCCCTCAATACTTTGAGATATTCAATATTTTTGCCTCTACTGAGTACTTCCAATTATTCAATTTTCATTTCAAAATTGTGTGATGCATTTSCTTCARATTTTACGAASAGATAATTTGTCTCCCATGACATTCGCCATTATGTTTATTTATACAAAAATAGGGCAGTCGAGTGACTGCATGTGACTCAGGCCATTAAGAGATTTGACTTCGAGTTTGCTGCGTTACATGGYAATTCTAAATTTAATTGCTTTTCATGCATATGAAAGCTCCTTTGACATTGGCCACCCAAGTTTCACTAACTATTGCTTGAGAGAAAGCAAAGAACAAATGCGCACGCTTTTGTTATTGGCGCGCACTCTTAGCAAAGTGTGGGTTATCTGTGGCATTACGTCATTGATCCCTTACCTAGCGASATCAAAAACTAGTTTATCACATGAAAGCTCCTTTTGACATAGAGATTCATTCTTTTCCTCCTCAAACAATGGTTGGGCAGCCTGTGTTTTTGAATGGTGAACGGTGATAGGAAGACCCACAATGCATTTCGCTACCCTGCTAAGGACTAAAAGCATTAAGTTGTGATCAAGCATTACGTTGTTTATGAATACACACCAAGCGGCGATTCCCAGGGGCCAAGGAACCTATTGTTATGGTTGATGATTTCTCCCGTGGGGGCCTGACGCGGTGCGCCCTGTTTGCCTGCCTAATAAACATATCCGTCTGAAAGATACGGAAAAGGAATTGTTATCCAAGACATGGAGTCCTTAGAGCTTTGATTTAGCTTTGCTGTAAATTCTCGAACGTTGTTTTGTTTGATAAAATGTTTATATTATTTTAACTGTATGTTTACGGCATCCATGTTATAATTATTCTTCTCCGCCTGGTTACAGCTGTAAAGTTTTGAAATAAAACCCAAAGATTGCTAAGCTTTTCTTCATTTCTTTATATATACGGATTTTCATTCATCGTTTTCAATTCATTCATCCTCTTCATTCACTATATTTAGATTTAATATTTATTTGATAATCAATGTTAATCCATTTGTTAATTTTTTATCAACAAGAACGAAAACGTTGAACGTTCGAGTGTCGAGCTTCTTCAATTGAGTGCCATTGGCATTGCAAAATTTAATCCTGGCAAATCTTTGGCAACAGCTTTTTTTGCCTGGTTCGAGCTTGTTCTGTAAACCACTAACGTTAAGAATTTCAAGAACTTTTCGTTATGCTGTTTACTTAAATACTAGTAATGTCTGTCTGACACTTGTCTGACATGAGAACGTACACATTTTCCTGTGATGAATTGGGAAAACAATAACGACAATTGAACAGCTCGGTGAAAGCCGCCACAGTACATCGAGTACATCGGGAATCGGGCGCAAACAAGCAATCAGCACCCATCCCCACCCCCCATCARATAATAAATCCATTGAAGAATGATTATTCAAACCATGTATCTTTTGCTAATTCCTGAGCTGAGCTCTGATTGGCTCGCTGCTCCCTAAGGATTTTGGTGACGTCATATATTAGCATAGAACTTCACCGAATAGACTACCCCAATTAGATATTATTTCTATAAGTGTCTTCATAGTACGATGGTCTAAGAGGGTAGCTAAAGGTATGCTCTAGTGGGCGGCTACCCCCTCACTCCCTGGCCTTTTGGTTAAGACTAAGTTTTATGTTCACTCGGGATAGCGTGGAAGGGYCGAAATCTCTAACCGTAACGTAAGCCGATTCGCCGCCTCAGCTTCATAGAATGTCTCGGGGGAATCGTCCCATCTTTTTATTTTTTTATTTTAATTATTTCTTATGTATTCCGGGGGGTGCATCTTTTCCTAAAGTGAAAGTCCTGAGTTCGAATCCTGCTACTGGAATTTCTCTTTTTTTCAATTCTTGAATGTTTCTTTTTCTTTTGTTTCCTGTTTTCTTTTCTTCTTCCTTTTTTCTTTTTGTTTTTTCTTTGCTGTTGTTGTTTTTTTCCTCTATAGATTTTCTCTTTTCAACTTTAAAAATATATCAAGGACTCGCAAGGAACGCCTGCTGCAAGCGGATGGTTACGGTTCGGTAACTCAACACGATGGCATAGTGACGAGATGCCCCATAAGGCCTTTCGTCAAAAAAATTGAGCGTTTCCTCGAATCAGTTTCGATTTCATTTTCTTTGCGACATTCTTGTTTAACTAAGCTTTATTTCAGCATTAATTAGTTGAAAACAACTGCCAAAATCCTTTTGTTTTACGACAGAAACAAAATGGGAAGACTACGAATTTGCACCAGTACAAAAAGTCGTCTGATATGTGAAATATTGTCAACATGCCCAAATGTTCCTCCATCAGAATAGCGTTGTTTTCAAGTGCTTGCATTTTATTTTCTCGAGATAAAACATTCATTTCAAATCCTGGTGATTTCTGTTAAAACAGAAACATCAGTTTCTTTTTTATCGCAACTTGCGGCTGCTGAAGACGGATTGCCCACTGCGGAAGTCTTCTCGCTTCACAAACGCAAATCTTTCTACATCTAGGGGTGAGAAACGGATGTACACAGGCTATCTACATCCTGCAGCCCTAGAAATGTAGCCCAAATCCTGTGCCTTATTATTCGTGTTAAAGCTCCCCAAGGAGCGCAGACACTTGATATATACGAGGCGAAATACCGGTCTCATAGTTCCGTATATAAAYGTTATTTACCGCACTGCTTGTGGATGCGAGGAATGTATAGTACATCACGTAGACAAGGCGCGCAGAAGGTAACGTTCCCATAAACAACGTGTCCTAAGATCAACGAGAAGAACAGGCGCCCAACAAAGCATGTAAAATCAAAACTATAACGAAAAGCGCTCGTGTGATTTTTATTTCTTCTGTGGAAACAGCATCCTCTGTTTTAGTCTTAAAGGAATTACCACTAACTCTCGTCTTCCTAAATCGCTTATTTCGTGCTTATTTCGTGTTTCAAACGTCAAATTTCACATGTGCTGAAGTCAACGAAAACTACTTCGATATATAGTGTTTTCTTTTCCTCAATTTTCGCCCTYCATTTGAAAATATCCATTGYAGTCAATTGATWTAATGACACGAKTGYGAACGTATTACGATGATGACATGGTAGAYTGGATACATCCAATACGAATACATCTGCATGGCCGAAAATGATGGATAAATGTCCATAAAACTCTGGMTATTGGTTGTTAGTATAAACATACTAGTGCACTATTGCAAATCCTTCGTTCTGATTGGCTACGCTACTCGGGGTCTATTTCCAATGGTACTCGACTAGCGAAAAGCGACAACKTTTTGCGCATTTTTAGCAATAAAAACATTTAATCATTTATATATTTCATTCATATTTTGTCTAACTAGTATGGTAATATCAAAACAATTAGATCTCTCGGCCTCGTGGACCACAAGATGATAGCCCATTCGGCCTTCAGCCTCATGAGCTATCAGCTCGTAGTCCACTCGCCCTCGAGATCGAATTGTTAATTAATGCACAAAATACCAAACGTCTATAATAAAAGTTTTATTTTCCTAAAACAGAAACTGGAACAAATAATTTTATACTTTTTACATTTTTCTGGGTATTCTTATATCACCGTATTTTTGCGCGTTGTTTTGTTAGTCTGTAAAAACTTCAAACGCGTTATTATAAATTTTCAAATTTTTTCCATTAAAAGTTTATAACAAATTTCAATTCAATTAATCCAAATTTATGACTTTTAAAATCAGTATCCACTGAAGTTTATAACTTTTAAGACCTATATACATTATAGCATCGATGGCGTTCCAAGCTGCTCGGAGAGCGTGATATATACAGTGTGCTCTGTTTGATTGACAGCTTGCTTAACCARAATGCATTGCACGCAAGTGACTCGACTGAGACCATTTTTTCGCATGCCAATAAAATATTCTCAGTTAGTCACTGGAGTCACTGAGTGGGACTGTTGTTGTTGTTGCTGTTGATGTTGTTGCGATATCACTTCGATGTCGTTTGTGCAAGAATCGCTGCCGACCTCTCGTASATTCACGACCTTGGCTGAATCCCGACGTTGAAGGACCGTTGGTTGAATTTGTCATTGTTTCCTGTGAAATCAAGTTTCATATCATAATATAAACACTTTTTTTGTTGGAGTGCCGCTTGCTCGCACATTTATGGAAAACTATGTAAATAGTACAAGTCCCCTGATTGGTCGACGCTACAAAGCGTACGCGTGCTAGGAGCATTGATTCAAAATAATAAAAATGGTATACGCGCTCTAATTGGGCGATAGTGAAGAACAATACGAGSCGCGCGCGCTCGTCAAGATTTTCCCGCCTTTTTCATACCTGAATATAAGATGAATTTAGTTGTTCGCTCTGTTGTCGTAGAAGCCAGTTCGGCCCCGATGGTGGACAGCTGTAAAAGACATAAAATATAAAATACATGAAAAAAGGGGAAAAAAAACTCGAGGGAGTGCGTGGATGTTAATGATCTTAAAATCATAGTGGATCATATGAAGCGCTAACACATGTGGGATATGATGTTATTATCACTCTTAGATATTCGCGCATGACACTTTGGAACGCGAGCTTTTCATCTYTTATCTAAGACCCAGTCCAGCCTTACTTAGCTATCAAAATAAATAAAACATACATAATTGCCTTAAATAAAATAAATCCAGGTTGAATCTTTGGATTTCCTTAATTCATTTTCTGATGCATGACATTCCAGTAATGCAGTACCAATTGAAACCTGCTTTTTGATTGCTCCTKAWKTACAGCACCACTATTGTTAGGTTAGGTTTTGTTATATTGTTGGAAGACTTATCTATTGTTTGTCCATTGTTTTCTCAACCTATCATGAGACCTGTTCCGAGCGGTGCTACCTGGCTCTGACATTCTGATTCAAGTATGTTTCATAAATGATTGAAAAAAAAGTTTTGCGAAGCGTTGTGGAATAAAAATGTTCTTCAATACCTCGCTCTGTAGTTGGCTAACGAGCTGGAGTCGACAAGATCTCGGATTTCCAAAGCCTCTTTTAAACGCAGCAATTCTTCGTAACGTTTCCTCCCTCTGATCTGAAAACGGAAATAAAGAAATTTAGGGCGTTTTTACTTAGAGTAAACACAGGAAAACCATGAAATATAATCAAAGTAAATACTAAAAAATAGCAGCTATTTAGAGACAATTTGTCAGTATCAATGAACCAGAACACAATGAAGATGAATCCACATGGGACTATTTTTAATTTATCTTCATTGCGTTCTGTTTCATTGATACTGACAAATTGTCTCTAAACTAAATAGCCRCTATTTGTTAGTATTTAGTTTGATTTTMTTTCATGGTTTTCCTGCGTTTGCTCTATTATAGAACTGTTAAKCCATAGCAGAATAAATTTACTACAAAACTATCAAAGCATAGAAAAGTAATTATTCTAAAATCSATGAAAATCATCAATTTATCAAGACCTGAATTGTGAAAATCTGGTTTTCTTCATCCTCTGTTTTCACAGCAATACTTGGTTGTGAACGTTCTTGATGAACAGTTGGTTCTTGCTGTCAAGAGAAAAWTGAAAAGCTCTGTGATTTTGAAAAAAAAAATTGATGCAAGGGTGAAAGCGGGTAAAAAGATCAAGAGAAAGTGGCAGGGACGTTTGAAGAGGCGATTTTCAAAAACAGCCACATTTCAATCCAAAAGCTAACAAGCAACATGAAAATTTTATCAGATTCGAGGAGTTTTCCAGGAGTTTTCGCAATGTTCCCCATTTTCAAGGGCTTTTCATAAATTTTTCACAATTTTATGAATGAATAAATGAATGGATGAATAAAATATTGAATGAATGATAAATTCTAGGTAAGGGTCAACAGACCTTCACTTTGCGCATCAACTGAGATGGTCTTTGTTGAGCTGTAAATTTCCTTTCTTCTTTTGGCCGATCCCTGCCAGGGGTTGTAGAAATTTTTAAATCTAGCYTTTGTCTTGCAATGAGGTTGCCACTGGAATACATGTATATAGAGAAACCATCAAAGAACAGAACCAAAAAAATAATAAACAAAACAGAGGGTTTCTTGACATCTACATTAATTTTTTACTGGAAACCCTGTATTTTTAGAAATAATTATGTAAATAATTGTGATTAAACCTACTCTTGTTCAAGGAGAAATACACCATGGAAGCTTCTCCTATCTGGACCACCAGGGCAAGTGTTAAGGCATATGAATCTTAGAAACTCCAATATGTATTGCTGTCCAACTGTACAAAACACAAACAAATTTAGAGTACAAAAAAACACTATGCTAATTAATGGCTGGTCTGCCTGTGTACTCAAATACACAGGTAACCCACAAAGAAAGTACCCACCTTCAGGATTTCTAATGGGTAAGATCACCCAATGATGTCCTTCATTTTGATCTGTGCCATAGACTGCATCACTATTGCATGACTCCAGAATGTGTTTTCTGCCATCTACCACACAAAAATACTTTATTTTCAGCATACAGTACTTACTCGCTTATAAGAAACCATTTTTTCAAATTTAGCCTAAACGGGTTCATATGTAAATGGTGCTTAGTGGAATTTTAGGCTATGCAGGTTCTTAAATAGGTTCTTATTTAWTGAGAAATATTACATTATACACCTGAAAATGTTAGAAAGGTGGAATGTATATCAATAATGCCAAAAAAGGCATTAGCCTTTGGACAGTATGTGACCATTAATAATCCCTTATATAAGAAAATTTACAAATTATCAAACATTATTTATACCAAATTTAGAAGTGTATGCATGCTCCAGTTCACTATTTTCTTTTTTTAGATTCATTTCTATAAGAACCTGTTTCAAATTTTAGGCTAAAAAGGTTATAATGTAAATGGGGTGTAAATTGATATTTTTAGGCTAACAAGTTCTTAAATTGCAGGTTTTTATAAGTGGGTAAGTACTGTATACATACAGTAAAATATGCATTCTGCATATTTTACACACAATTGAGGCTAACATAGYGTACAAGAGATAGAAGCTAAAACTCARCTATTGCATACATACTACCTCAACACTGAACTTTGTCCATATTGTACATTTGTATGTAGTAAAAACACTTCAAACAAACTACCTGAAGACTCRTGGTTACGRCATCGACAAACTACTGATCGTGAATGGTTGGCTTTTGAAAACATCACTACAATCCTCAATTGCAATTGGTGACAAAGTTCTGGGGGAGCTGTGAAGTTAAAGAATGAAGTTAAATAAACWAAACACTGACTACATCCTAAACTGGCTGATTTCTTGCCATAAATTCAGAGCTAAGGAAACTGAGATACATGTCAGTTCAAATGAATCATTTTCATAGTCTCATGAAATGGCATTTTTTTGTGGATAATAATAATAACAATAATAGTTTATTCAGTTCTCTTGTAGTRAATAAATACTGATGATTGTATTGTTTTTTTTTATACAAAACTTTGTTTTCTGATCCCAAATTTCTCTTCAAATGTGATCCCCCATCCCAAATCCCCCAACAATGAATTGTCCCGAGTAATTTTTTTCAACTGATCCCCAACCCAAAAAATCCTGACACTCAAATAATACTGTCCTGATGACTGATCTGATATTCATGGCCCTGATTTTCACTCATAATTTTGAGGACAAAGTCTCAGAGATTGTGGYTACAATCACTCTACCCCTCCCCCTAAARATTTGGTGCTGTTGCTGATTCTCACTAAAGATCAAAGAGCAACATACCATTAAGGAATATCCTCACTGGTATATCAACTCTATTCTTGCCGTAGAGCTTCTTYAAAGTTGGTGAGTAGGTCCATGGAGATGCCCTCACGACGGGTAGTCTCTCCTCTTCAAATCCAAGATGAAAACCATAGATTCCTGGAAAATCTTCCTTTGAGTGTAACCAATGAGAGGGTACGACACTTAAAATATTTGGATAASTTGGATARRCCAGGGGAGCGGGCTGTATTGGTGGTACAAGTGAATGGAAAGTTTGTCCCGAGGTACTTGGCACAGGCTCATCCTATGGAAAATAAGTTTAATACAGAAATATATAGACTGCCGTCAATATTATAAATACTACTGATTAGTTTAAACACAATGACAATGATTTTGATTGACAGCAATCTATCCCTCTTTCTTCTCACTACTTTTGTTTGATCTCATCATGTAGCAGTCCACACAATTTTATATTTCTTCATATATTAAAATTTAAAACTGTGTTTTCAAAATAAATTTTTGATTTTAAAAAGGATTTAAAAATTGAAAATTGAAAATAATAATTCCAATCAAGAAAAAATATTAGTAACAAAACTACTRGAAAACCTCTTATAAACATGATAAACAATAAAAATAAATGATTAAAAACATAGAATACTTCATGATGTAGTTCAAGGATGTTATCTGAAAAAAAAAATATACATGCATGATACCTTTATCTAAGTATTAAGATATAAGTTGTAGCTATAATTTAGTAAAAAACTGTACCTGGGATCCATGAACCAACTTGCATTTGGAGMTCTTGAAAGGTTCCATCAGACATTGTGTTTGAAAGCTCTGATGACTCACTTCCAGTTGACTCCTGTGACATACTAATGAAAGAGYAATAAGTGATGAATGGCTGTTATCATTATTTTTGTTTTTTCATAATGTATAAATCTCATTACTTAAGAATCATGATAAAATTCAAAAATTCTAAATTCAATATAATTAAGAACACAAGACCATGATAAACTAATAAATTGATAAACTTAAAGCATGTTTTCATAAAAAATATAAGCTAGCCTTTAGAAAAAGTCTATTTATATAAACATAGAAATTAAAAGTGGTACAAAAGAAAGTCATTCGACTGAAGTCATCTCTTTGTATTTCAATCAATTCCTATCTTCCAATGTTATTTTTACTAATTATTCTTCTAATATTTATATTTTACTTCTGTACAACAATGTTCTTGTAATATGGTGTATCTATTAATTTTAAAAGTAACAAAAGTAAAAGGAAAGGCTGCACAAGTTTTTCTTTGTATTTTCGTTATGTCTCAGTATATTGCACTTTGTTTAACAGGAAAATCACTACAATAAAACAAGAATGTGTTTTTAAGAAAAATATCTGTGGAAGCCCACAAAAATTCGATAAAAAATTGAATTTCCTATGATAGAATGTAGGCTATTTTTCGAACGTTTGATCGGAATGCTTGTTTTACGATATGCATACATAAATAGGGGAATCCCCGCCACATGGTTTTACCGAAAATTTACAAACACAAGAATTCTTGATCTTAAGCAAACAATTATAGTTTTTATATGATATTAAACGCCAGGTATCATTTCAGATATGGATAATTCTCCCCTTGGATGTAATAAAAGCCCTCAAAAGTGAAGTTCTCCTCGAATGTGCTACTCTTTTGAAATCTGAAATCGAAAATGTCTCCACATTCCTTAGTCCGAAAATCTTTTTTCAAATCTGGATGAAACTGAAGCCAATGAAAGATTCATGGTGAATTCCTAAACCTTTGAGTGGTTTAAAAACATGTTCTCACACAATACCTCAAAGTAATGTCTTGCTTTAGAAAGCAATCCGACGAAACGTCTTCACGATCAAATGTCAATGACTTTGACAACCAAAGTCTCGTTGACTGAATATAAACAAGGGTTTTCCCTTGTCTTTCTGAGCCGTAAATAGGTATAAAAATATCTTAGCAAAGTACGTATCCACATTTGAAGTTCAAAAGTTGTTTATAAGAGAGAGATTTTCGAAAGAAAACTCACTTACTTACCTCTGCGAGCGACTACCACGCGGCAAAAAGCCTCACATTGTGAGCCTTCAGACATGATCAGCGGAGCTGTACAAAAGGGCGGGTACAATCCACCAATCAAATTCAAGTAGCTTTCTTTCTTTTTTGGTGGTGTTTTTTTGTTGTTGTTTGTTTTTGTTGTTGTTGATGGTGGTATTTGTTTTTTATTATAATTTTTTGAATAAACAAATCAAGACAATGAATCAATAAACGATAAATTGTAAAACCAAAGAGTAGTTACCAGTCGAGTTGGTTAGACATGAAAGATAGAAATATAGATAAGGCATGTAATGAATTAACCAACCACGAATGATCAGATCAAAAATGATTTATATTATAGCTATCATAGTACGAGCTCTCTGATTGGTCAAATGTTATTATATATTTCGCTGGTAAAAGCAAGGATGTGAAAATAATAATATAGAAGCAAGAAATAACATATTTCCGTGCGTTCCTGGTGAAATAAACCTCCAGCTCGAGATTTTTTAAGCCTTTTTCATGTTCTCTCAACTCAGGAACGCCCGTGTTGTTTGTGGAATAAGTAATTAGCGGCATTGACGAAGTTAATTAATTCGTTAGCAATAATTAAAAACAACGATTTTTCAGTCTGCAGACGAAAAACGCCAAAGAAGGGTGTGGGATGACATTAACCATATCATAGCTACCTTAAAAAACGTACCTCCCATCCCTAAAGAAACTATGCGTCCTGAACGTTCGTGTGCAGCACATGCAATGTACGTTTATAAATGACGAAAGACAGTTATTTTTGCATAACCCAGTCGCATTCGCGTCACCCTGTGATTTCAGTACTTGGTGCTTGGCTATTTTTTTACTATAATCCTCCCTTAACTCTTATCAAATTTTACAGAATGCAACTAAGCTGGTAAGTTAACCGTTTATTCACACAATTTATACCCTCGTTGGATAGAACTTCAGTCCCGGAACAACTATCTAGATATCCCATAACTGTGTTTTTTTTTTTTTTNCCTTAGTCCGAAAATCTTTTTTCAAATCTGGATGAAACTGAAGCCAATGAAAGATTCATGGTGAATTCCTAAACCTTTGAGTGGTTTAAAAACATGTTCTCACACAATACCTCAAAGTAATGTCTTGCTTTAGAAAGCAATCCGACGAAACGTCTTCACGATCAAATGTCAATGACTTTGACAACCAAAGTCTCGTTGACTGAATATAAACAAGGGTTTTCCCTTGTCTTTCTGAGCCGTAAATAGGTATAAAAATATCTTAGCAAAGTACGTATCCACATTTGAAGTTCAAAAGTTGTTTATAAGAGAGAGATTTTCGAAAGAAAACTCACTTACTTACCTCTGCGAGCGACTACCACGCGGCAAAAAGCCTCACATTGTGAGCCTTCAGACATGATCAGCGGAGCTGTACAAAAGGGCGGGTACAATCCACCAATCAAATTCAAGTAGCTTTCTTTCTTTTTTGGTGGTGTTTTTTTGTTGTTGTTTGTTTTTGTTGTTGTTGATGGTGGTATTTGTTGTTTTTTTTATTATAAATGTTTGAATCAACAAATCAAGACAATGAATCAATAAACGATAAATTTTAAAACCAAAGAGTAGTTACCAGTCGAGTTGGTTAGACATGAAAAATAGAAATATAGATAAGGCATGTAATAAAAATTATCCAACCACGAATGATCAGATCAAAAATGATTTATATTATAGCTATCATAGTATGAGCTCTCTGATTGGTTTGTTTATTTCGCTGGTAAAAGCAAGGATGTGAAAATAATGATATAAAAGCAAGAAATAACATATTTTCGTGCGTTCCTGGTGAAATAAACCTCCAGCTCGAGATTTTTTAAGCCTTTTTCATATTCTCCCAACTCAGGAACGCACGTGTTGTTTGTGGAATAAGTAATTAGCGGCATTGACGAAGTTAATTAATTCGTTAGCAATAATAAAAACAACGATTTTTCAATCTGCAGACGAAAAACGCCAAAGAAGGGGGGTGATGGGATGACATTAACCATATCATAGCTACCTTAAAAAACGTACCTCCCATCCCTAAAGAAACTATGCGTCCTGAACGTTCGTGTGCAGCACACCCAATTTACGTTTATAAATGACGAAAGTCATTTTTATTGCATAACCCAGTCGCATTTGCGTTAACCTGTGATTTCAGTACTTGGTGCTTGACCATTTTTTGACTATAATCYTCCCTAAAAGCTTATCAAATTTTACAGAACAAGTAAGCTGGTAAGTTAACCGTTTATTCACACAATTTATACCATAATTATGCCCTCGTTGGATAGAACTTCAGTCCCGGAACAACTATCTAGATATCCCAAAACTGTGTGTGTGTGTGTTTTGTTTTGTTTTTTTTGTTTTTTTGTTGTTTTTTTTTTGCCGTTGTTGTTGTATTTATTGACTTAAGATAAACCTTTTTTATTGTTTAAGAAAAATTATAAAAGTATTATTATTGTATGAGGAAGTAGCTGATCCCATTAAAGAGTGCTCAATACACATAAAGTGTAGACCTAGTTGTATCATAGTTAATAGCTATGGTTGTATATATGATATCAAAGAGCCAAGATTTTGCCTCTTTGATATCATATATAAAAGTATTATTATAAATTGAATAAATTGAAGAAAAAGGCACGCGACTTGCAACTATTATTCCTACTCTTTATTTGAACGTTTCGGCACTTCGGCCTTCTTCAGCAAAAAAAGTATTATTATATTTATTTCAAAAGAGGTTTTCAGACAACCAAAAGTAGATATGGGTTTTGCTATTTGATGAGAAATAACATATGAATTACATA